GGAAAGAGAGCAAGAGTAGGTTCCAGAAACTTTCTAGAGAGAAGATGGAAGCTCTTTTCCCAGAGACTGCCCGTCAATTTCTCCGCTCACCTCACTGGCTTAAATTTGGTCTTATGACCATCCCTAGGCCAACTCCTATGGCTTTTTGGATGCCAGATGCTGACTGGCTTCATCTTGGTATGAGGGGTCCCAAGTATATGCCTCATTCTGTCTCTGGAGCAATGGAGACGGAATAACCTGATTACCTTTGACTAAACAGAGTCCATCCTTGGAACTCAGTCAACGCCCCAAACCTCAGGGCTGCCACTGCAAGAGGACAGGAGTGAGATGGATGCTGGAGAGGCACCACAGGTCTACAACTCTGCTGGACCACCTTCCTCAATTCAGCAAACAATTATCAAGTGTCTGCTGTGTGCCAGGCAGGGTGCAAGATGTTTGATGACACAGGGACAGGGGCCCATGTTATTGAGAGGGATAAATGAGCCAACTTGTGCAAAGTGCCTGGGGCAGCCCTCAGCCCCTAATACCTGTTCAGTATTGTCTTCATTACAATGAATCCTGCATGCGTATTCCCTGCCATCCAGGAGACAGACTTAAACAATAAATTCCAGCGGCATATGGAGAGGGACTAGAGTAAGCCTGTGGGTGGCATAAAGGAGAGAGCTGACTCAAGGAGTATGGAGAAGTGTGGCCTCAAGAAGTGTATTGTAGGGCTTCCCTGGTGGTGCAGTGGTTGCACCTGCCGATGCAGGGGACACAGGTTCGTGCCCCGGTCTGGGAGGATCCCACATGCCGCAGAGCGGCTGGGCCCGTGAGCCATGGCCGCTGAGCCTGCATGTCCGGAGCCTGTGCTCCGCAACGGGAGAGGCCACAGCAGTGAGAGGCCCGCGTACCGCAAAAAACAAAAATAATAAATAAATAAATATCCCCAGGTGATTAAAATGTGTAGCCGAAGTCAAGAACCACCCCTTATAGGCTATTGAAGACATAAAGCACACATACATTAACTAACAATGCTGAGCTGGGAGAGGGCAAGGTAGGCAGGGGGCTTAAGGGGCCTTGAAGAACCAGTGGGATCTGCCTGATCTGAGCAGTCTGGAGGTGGTATCTCAGTGTGAGAGGAACGGGTGTGAGCAAATGTATGTGTGCAAACCTAGAGGGTGTATCAGTCTGGACCCAGTCAGGAGAGAGAAACCACACAGTAATTTCAACAAGGAAATATAAAAAATTATTAACTATAACAGTGTATTAGAATAAGGAAGGATTAGCTGCTAAGTAGAGAGAACTCTGAAGGCTATAGGAATGCAGATATCAGGACACCCACCCTCTCTGGGGCTGAAAAAGACCACCCTGTGGAGAGCCCTCTGCCGCCCAGGCAGAGCTCCAGACTTGGCTGACACAGCGTGGCTCACTGAAGGGCAGAGAAATCGCTGTGGTGTTACTCTGGCAGAACCTTCCAGGAACCTGCCCTCCAGATGCTGGGGAAAGCTGTTCACAGGGAGGTTTCTCATGGAGCACGCAGATGGGGGCCACGGCTGAGACAGCACAGGAGAATCAGGAGGCAAAACCCAGCAACGTCCCCTCAAGCAAGTGGAGGCTCAGACGCAACAGAACCTCCTCAGGGAATTAGCAAAGCTGGATTTCCACCCAGATCCATCTTTCCTGTACATTCAGCTACCTCTCTGAACAAACAGAAATGCAAGATCTAGACTAAGATCACTGACATAAGCTGCCCAGGGATGGAAGGGGTCTGTGCTCAGTGAAGTCAGTGGGGAGGGCCTCGTGGAGGAGGTGAGGCTTCCAGTGGACCTTAGGGGGGCTTTTATTTTAAGGAAACGAGGGAGAAAAATGTCAAGAGGTGGCTTCCAGGCTGCCTTTGCAACACAAGCCGCGTTGATCAATTTCACATGCAGAAGAGCCGACCTGGGCTCAGACGGGACTCAGCACAACCAGTAGAGGGAACAGTAAAAGAAAAACCTCTTAGGTGGGCTTCCCTGGTGGCGCAGTGGTTGGGGGTCCGCCTGCCGATGCAGGGGACACGGGTTCGTGCCCCGGTCCGGGAAGATCCCACATGCCGCGGAGCGGCTGGGCCCATGAGCCACGGCCGCTGAACCTGCGCGTCCGGAGCCTGTGCTCCGCAACGGGAGGGGCCGCGACAGTGAGAGGCCCGCATACCGCAAAAAAATAAATAAATAAATAAAAAACCCTTAGGTGACGAGAAGGTCAGAGGTAGAACAGAATCAAGGAAGCCCTTATATGCCAGAGAACCTGGATCGGAGCTGATGTGAAATCAACTCACTGTGAGACAGCCAGAACCCAGGGATATGGGGCTTCTAGGACCCCTCAATCACATGCCAGCCTCTCTGTGGAATGAATACAGGAGAGCAGATGCCAGCTCTGCAGTCACATACACCACTAGAGTACCAGCTCCAGCATTTAGCTGTGTGTCCTGGGGCAAGTCCCTCAACCTTTCTGAGTCCCAGGGCTCTTCATCCGTCAGTTGGAAACAACGATCCCTTCTTTGCAGGCTCGCTCAGGTGAAGTCCCCAGCACACAGCTTGGCACACAGCGCGTCTTTCCGTCACTGGTAGATTCTCTGTCTCCCACTTTGACTCTGTAAGCCCTTTCTGTCTTTTAAGACATCCCGTGCCTCTGAAAGTAAATGTTTTAAATTCAGGAATTCCAGATTCCTAAATAGGTGCACCTGGAGGAGTGCCAAGGTCTCGGCGGCCAACGACCCTCTTGAGACTCGGGCTTCACAACTCTGTGCTCAGCACTTGGAAGGAAAAGCTCGGGTTTAGGGGATGCAGCCACTGTGTTCTTGGCTCCCCAGCCAGATGGCGCCTTGAAGTGACGTTTCCTACCCAACGTCCGCAGGGCAAATAAGGACGCTTCTTTATCTTTCAGGAGGAGACGTCACCAAGCCGCGCTTTGCTCAATTCTTCCATGGCAGCCTGGCCAGTCTCACCATCCGCCCTGGCAAAATGGACAGGCAGAAGGTGGTTTCCTGCCTGCAGGCCTGCAAGGAAGGGCTGGACATCAATTCCCTGGAAAGCCTGGGCCAAGGAATAAAGGTAAGGAAGGAGCCAGCATCGCTCCCGGTGAGATGGTGCTTTGTGAGGCAGAGGCTGCTAAACACCAGTGCAATCCTGGAAGCAGAGTCATTTCCTGCCACGTCACACCGAGCTGGTACCATGGCAAAGGTGCTGCCACAGCAGGGAGATTGGCGACCGTGACCGCACAACAGGCTCTGTGCCGTCTCCTGAAATTCCTAGATGAAGCCCTCGAGTGTAATCAGTTCAGTGCATAAAAGCAGGCACACGTTCAATGTCTACCTGGAGGGAGTTGCTATATTTCATTGTTTCCTGGGTTGGTGGGTTGCTTTGTTGTTTCTTTGCCCAAAGGAACTGAGGGAGCAGTTACGCAAGCATAACTTTCAGAAATACAGAAAAGTAGGATTAAAAGTTTGGACCATGGAAACTACTAATTACAGAGGAAGGTCACCCCGGGGTGCGTGGAATTAGAAAGCAGAGGCAGAGGTCACTGGGTCTTATGTTGTTAAGTTGAGGCCTGGATTGGGCTCCAGGCAGTGTCTGGCTGCCAAGGGGAATATGAACAGACTCACAATTTCGTCATCCACACAAAATAAAACTCTTCAAACGATCCAAGGGAATCCAAGCTGCGTTTTGAGAAAAGCTCCTCCTGAGGGGCGCAGGATGTGTCTGACTGTCCTCATCAAGCACCTCCCCGCCCACGATGGGCAGGGATAGATCTGGCCTCACCTGGACCGAGGAGCGCCTGCCCGCATCAGGCCTCGGGGTCCTGAGCAAAGAGCAGGATAAACATCATCACAGCCCCCGCTCCATCATAGCGGACCCCAGTGACAGCAGGCAGCCCCTTGGCCTCCTCTCTGGGAGTGAGGGCGGCCCACCCTCTGTCTCCAGGGACGCAGGACAGCCCCATGAGGCCCCAGCGGCTGTGAAGGTTTCCCAAGGAGGGAGTGACCAGAACAGAGGTTTCCCACCACCTCCCATCCGTCCCCACTCAGCACTAGCCGTGGAGCTGCCCGGCCTCCCCACCCCAGGCCTGCATCTCCTGGACAGGGGTCACCCCTCCAACAGAGGGGTGCCCTCTCATATACACTCTCAGTGGCCGACTGCTTGTGGGGCTCTGACTTGGGCTGGCCTTGCAGGGACCAGTGATCTGGGCAAATCATGCCTTGACTTCACATTGCAGTCACTGCAGCAAACAGTCCGCGGACACCCGTATAATTTGGTTCTGGGCTGCCGAGAAGGACACGAAAATGAATGTTCCAAGATTATTGTCTTTGGGGCACTCGATGCCCCAAGCAGACACCTGTAATCCGGTGCTCCAATGATTATGAGCGCCGACATTTACTGAGGGTCTCCTGGGTACCAGGCACTGTTCTAAAACCTTTATGGGTTTAACTCACTTAAGCCCCAGAGCAGCCTATGATAAATGTACCATGAATCTTCTACATGAGGAATGGAGGCCTGGAAGAGAAAGGAAAGTTGCCAGGGATCCCAGAGTGAGTCAGGAGCAGAGCCAGAATGTGATCCCAGGCAGTTCTGCTCCAGAGCTTCAGAACCGGGAGCAACAGCAGGGAGGGAAGGCTCCTCGGAGGAGGTGAAGCCTGAGCGTATTGTTTAGGACGGGTAAGAAGCAACCAGGAGAGAGGCAGGCAGTGGGTGGCAAGGGAGAGGGCAGGGCGGTGACTCTAGGCAGAAAGCCAGTGTTACAAGTGGCCAAATTGCAGCAGGAAAGCTAGAAAGCGGGACCAGAGAGGCAGGCAGAGGCCGGGTCATAGGGCCTTGTTAATGTCTGGTGTTTACTTTTTTTTTTCTGTTGGCAACAAGCAACCATTGAAGGGCTCCATGCAAGGGAGCATGATCTGGACAGGCGTGGGGTTCAGAATGCTCACCCTGGAGCCCTGGTCCGAGGGGGAAGATGGGAGGAGTATACAAGCAGGGTAAAGCATGAATGACCTTCCAGAACATTGTTTAACATGCAGGAAACACATACACACAGGTGCTCTGGACAGCTAATCGCCTGTCTGAAGGAAACTCACAAGACCGCCTGTACTGCAAAGGCCAGCATTCCACCTGTCAATTTCATGGCAGCTGGCCCAGGCAAGACCCTCGTGGCACATTTCATACAGATATCCTCACAGGCAGAGCCTGGGGTCTGATCCTTGGTCTACTGTTTGTATTGTTCCCTCAGTGTTTTGTCGAGCCAGTGAAATCTGTCCTCCAACAGTTCCAGAATCTGTCCCCTCTCTGATTCTGGATTTGCTCCCTGCCTCTGCGTGCATCTTCTCTGCTCTGGACCATCCCATGTGGTCACAGTTGCAGGATTCCAAGCACCACAGAACAAATAAACCAAAGACGCTGGAGTTCAAAGCCACACATTCTTAGAACTATAAATTAAGAACCATAGCAATTCCTGCATAGTGGTCCTAGCCTGTGAAAGAGGAAATGCTAAATGAAGTGGCACCCAGAGCTGTGGGGAGTGGAGGGGGCTCATCTGACTTTTTAGAATACCACCTGCTCAGAACCAGTCACTGCAAACGATCCTTTCCCATCCTTAGGGCGCGGCGGGCAAGAACTGGTCTACTGTACGAGAAGTTAATGATAACACACGCGATGTCACGGTGCACCCACTGGGGGCTATTTTAAGCTCATTATCCCTACTCCTCACAACAAATTAAATATTATGACCCCATTTCAGAACTAAGGAGGTTGGGGCTCAGGGACTTGGCCAAAATAAGTCCAGGCTCTTTCCGCCACAAGACTCAGATTAGAAGGCATTCTTGAAAATTATTAAAACTGCTTCCAACCTGCCTTTCCTCCTTCGTCCCTCATTTCTTTTTTGAAATAATGACTAGTATTTTCTCTACTGGCTCCTGGCCTCCTCCCTCCCCTCTGGCTAGTCCAAAAAGTGAGGGCCTGCCATGATTAAGAAAACATCCCGTCTACTCACAGGGTCCCACATGGGTTCCTCGTCTCACTTGTTTTCCCCTGGATCATGCATATTTCCAGCTATTTCTCCAGCATGTCTGGAAGTCATCACATGATCGAGGTGGTTGTTGTTATGTATCCATGTGAGACACTGTGGAATCGCCACATTCCTGAAGAATACACACTTCTGATTTGCATAGCGTCATCCCTGCCAAACTGTCATCTCTAGTGTGGAAGAGTGGGAAAAAGCAAGAACTTTGGGACAAAACCCTCCTAGGTTCAAAGCACAGTACGGATATTCATGACCTGGCTGACCTTGGGCAAGGTACTTTAATCCTTTAAGCCCCAATTTCCTTGTGTGTAAAATGGACTTAGTATTATTTTGTAGTGATGTAAGAATTGAATAACATATATATTTTTTATATATCCTTACATATAGTTATATATCAGATATAGCAAAGATACACATACAGAAGAGATAATTAGATATAGATATATAGATATAGATACAGATCTCCCCTAGAAAACCTGATAACTAGGCTCTCAACAAATCACAGTTCCCTTCTCCTGCTGGGCTGACCTTGCACTTGGCATTGCTGATACCCCAGCTTCTTTTGAAAAGTAATCCTGGGTGACAGTTGCAACAGAAGAGCCTCTATTGCAGGGAATCTTCATCTGTCCCAGCCCAGAGGAGCTGGCAGGGAAGGCGAGGTGCCTGGAGGGCCACAGCCAGCCTGTCCTCAAAGAGCAGGCCAGGGCTTTCGGCAGGGACTTCACCGATGTCCCAGCCTGACCCTCCAGGACAGCTGACCATTCTGCTAAGACCATCTGTCTAACCGCTTCTTGGTTCAAAGAAAGGAACCACTGTGGCTACAGCCCAGCTTTCCCGGGAGAGTGAGTGCTGTCACCTTTTGCTAGGTCCCCAGGAAGCCATCTCCTGCCCCTGTGGAAATGCCAATACCATCCTGTGTCTCGCAAAACCAGAGACCGACCCTCAGTCATGCCACGAAAGACAACACAAACATACAAGCAAAACCTATTCTAGTGGAGGGTTTAATTGATCCTGCAAGAACCGTGTTGATGGCTAGCCAGTGCCCACCTCAAGCCCTGTGGCAGTCTTTGGGATGCTCTGGCAGCCAGACTTGGGTATTCACTAGAGATCCACCACATTCCCTAACCCGTCCTCTCCCTAGGAGGCTTCAGTGGGAGTGCCCTCTGCTGATGCCACGGGCTGCTGCCCAGTCCATCCTTCTGGATGAATTGCTTGATTTTCCTGTTCAGCCCTCATGCACGGCTCGGAGACTGGCCTTTTCTGCAGGGGGCATCATCTTGTCTCATGCTTGTCGTGTACTGGACCCTCTAGATGCTGAAAAAAGTCAGTGGACCTTGCCCTCGAGGTGCTCACAGTCTGCTGGTGGGGGGCAAATAGACAGACAGCAAAAGCACCAAAAGACTGCTACAGCAGGGGTTGGCAGGGACGGGGAGAGCGCAAAATACATGGAAACTTAAGTGGTATATTTAGAAGAATGACTTTCAATCTGCTCAAATGAGAAATGGATGATCTGTAAAACACTCAGAACTATTGATGATTCACCAGCATGTGGCATCTCCACAGCTGAGCACGCTAAGCTAGTGAGTCAGCCCCAGCAAGAGAGAGACCAACAAGAGGCCGACTGTAGCGTCACCTGTGCATATGCCCAGGGGCTCCTGAATCCAGCATAGGGAACAGTGCTTGTGACCAGACGTCGCAGCTCAGAGAGACCCTGCTCAGGGCTTTGAGGACAGGAGGAAACCGGATCATAGGGAAAGCAGAACAGCGAGGGCAGCGG